TATCATGGTTCTAGTTCTTTGTTGGGTGTAAAAGTACTGCCCAGACTCATCCATTACTTGCATCCCAACGGAAGTTGAATATTCACCCATCACACCAGAAGTTGAAAATGACAAGGGACCCATCTCTCTCCTAAGCAACTCAGTGTAAGACATGACAGTTGTGGTTATGCACCATTTGGTCTGACTACTGCCTATGCCAACATTGATGTCCTCCATCTCAACGTACAAAGCAACACTAGCAATGCTGGGGTTGTCAAGTACCACATTAACCATTGAGTCACTAGTTCATTGTTGACAATTTTCAGACCGACATGTGTATTTATGTTTGGTCCTGGTCCTGTTCCAACTGTAAAAGGATATCTACATGTCAACTTCAACTTGTTATGCGCCCTGTCCAACTCCAGTATATTGTAAATTTTACTCAATAACTTCGATAGTTGTGTACCACTATTGATAACAATACCATCTTTGGGAGGACAACTGTATGATAAATCCTTTGAGCCATAATTCATTTGTCCACCCTAATATAGCAAAATGGTAACTTGTTTTTTTGTCATTTCAATTAGTTTCGGCTGTAGAATAAGTTTTGAATTCAGAAGAACCTGGGAATAGATAGAAACGATTAATACTTGAAGAAATTATCAATTAGAAAACCTACAAGGATGAAATGTACTTGTATGATACTAAGAAAGATGAAGATACAACTTTTATATGGAAGTTTGAATAAATAATCCCCACAAGAGGGTATCTCCTTAGATGTTTTCATGTATTGAATCAGAAGTGAAACATGTTATCAAGAAGCCAAACAATGTATGCAATTTTTTTGGCTAACAAGGCAGTAATTGAACAACATTGACAACTTTATCAAAATTATCAGGACTATCCAACTCAAGGATGACAACATTGGAGTTACTTTAAGTGATTCAAAATCAACATGCCTATTTTGAAGTAAATGTGGTGTTTGATGCCTAAGAGAAATAAATACTGAACTTCGATTAAGATTGAGAGAGACAGACATGGAATAGAGAACCTACATAATGTTTGAGTGTAATTCTCTCTAAAAATTAATAATGTTTATACTTGATGCCCAATCAGAATTAACCTTTTGAAAAGAGTAACCATGCCTTAGACTAGAACTTCAATTATGTTAGGAGTGTGGACGATACAATATGAGTTGCTATTGTGATCTTATGAGTTACAATATGAGTTACTATATAAATAATACAATACGGGTCTATATGAGTTAATAATACCAGATGATCAAGTGATCTAACCATTACCAAATAAAAGAGAAATAGTAGACAAGTTGATATAGACCTATATTTGTCCAATACCACAGAGGGTATGAACTGATAGATCGATGGATACTTTCTTAATAAAAATCTGAAACCTGAGTTTGTTAATATCTAACACCTCTATTAATGATTACCAATTGATGACATAGTTAAACTGAATCACACAAAAATGTCAAGTGGTGATAGTCGTTGAGATTTGATTAATAATTTCAAAGTTTTCATGTAGTTGTGTTTGGAGTATGAGATGAGTAAGACTAGTAATTGTCTGTGCCTGAAGGCACAATATAACGAAAAATTAAATTAATTTGTGTCTAAAGACATTTTGCTAACTAAAAAACCCATCAATTTGAAAAAAAAATTCCTTCATTTGCTTTAATTAAAAAAATTAAAATCAATCAAGCCTTCGTTATTTTTTTAAAAAAAAAAATCGGCAAAATTTCCTCTATAGATAAGAATCTAAGGAAATCTCATCCTGTCTACAGAACTTATATATCTCATTGTATGTATCATTGTCGAACACAGACCATTGCATAATCAATCTCAAGAAAAAATTACCCAACTTAAGTCAGTTATAGCATCATAATTCAAACAAAACATATAACCATCATAATTATACATAACAATTATCACAATGCAACTCTATTTTTCCCAAAATCACCATTCCAAATCCAACCATCAATTCTCACCAAACAACATTTTCACATGTACAAACAAATCACACGAAAACTGGACACACACAAAACACACATGTACAAAGAGAAATAATTATCTTCAACTTCATCTTCTTTAGAAAAGAAAGATAACCAAAAAACACATAAGATTGCTGAACTCACCACATAACACACAATATAAATCTCAACTAAGACAACAATAAAATCATAAATATGCGCTACCATATTAAAAAGGGAAAATAATTATAGGAACCAACTTAATCACCATCTACCATATTATTTCCCTGCGTCCTCATGCTCAAAACAATAACCACACCTACAGGAGTTGCCCAACCTTTAAAGCCCCAGACCCAATGCCATGGAGCAATTTCAGTGGCAAATAAATGTCTAACAAAATATTAAAACCCAAATAGGATATAATAACTGCAGGCTTGTCTTTTCAAATGAATTCATTTGACAAAAGCAATGTGGAGAATAATCAACACTAATAATAAGTCATACCTGCAAGATTTTTCACCAAATCATCTGCACAATCTCTTAGCCGAACTTTTAATAACAAATAGATAGCCAAAAATTCAGATTCTTCAAAATATAACCTCCCCCAAACACAAAAATGGGAAACCAATAGTAAAATAAACAACCAAGTTGTATATGGCGATGGTTGGTAGTGGTGGCTACACAGTCATTCCATGAAAATAACACTCATTTCAATTAAAATGACCATAACATTCAATTGTAAGACCTTAACATTCAATCGCAAACCAAACTTCCAAGTCCAAAACCTTATGTTATAATATTAACATCCAATTTGATTTAATTAACAAACAAATTTCATACAATTTAAAACCCCATTTCAACAATTAACATCCATTTTCATACAATCAACAACCCATTTCATACAATCAACATCCCATTTCATACAATAATAAACCCTAACATCCAATTTAAAAACTATAAATCATCCATAAAAAGCTTTGAACCCAAACAACAAATAAACTAAATCAATAACATATACTTTTCAAATAAAACCATTGAATCATAATAAAAATGAGGCCATCAAATTATAGCAGAATTATCAATCAAATCCAAAAAAAGTCCCTTAATACCCATCTCTGATTGTTCACCAAAATTACCAAGAAAACTCAAACTACGTCCAATGACAAATGAAGTCAAGCACAACAGAAAAAAATGGAGAACAAAACATACCCTTTAACCTCCTTAGAACCTCAGCTTGGGGAAAAATCACCTTTTTTACTCACGGGATTGAAGAACGTCGCCTGGTGGTGGGCTTCGATGGTAGGTGGTGCAAGGTGGTGTTGGGTGGTGTTGTAAAGGTGGGGGGGTGCAGTGGTGGTGTAGGGTGATGGTGGGTGATGCTGCGATGGTGGGTGGTGGTCTTTCAGTGGTGGTGGTCGTTGGAGGTGCGCCTGAAGGAGGTCAGGGGTGGTGGCTACTGGGCCGCCTAATTGAAGCTAGGGTGAAGAATTTGGGAAAGAAAGTGATGGAGAAAGAAGGAAGAGGGAATCAGGTTGAAGCTTAAGAGGTCAAACCGAATGACGTCTCTTATAAAAATGTCAAACTGACTAACGTTTTTAATGGTGGGCTAAGCTATAGTATTAGGCTAAAAACGTCAAATGGACTGACATTTTTAGGATAAAAATGTCAGTCCATTTAACATTTTTATCCTATAAATGTCATTTCGTTTGACATTTTTAAAAAGTGTTTGTATTTGAAAATTACTTTTAAAACTATCCTTATTTAGGATTTTTTTTTAAAAGTCCATGGATAGGTCAAAAGCTCCCCACCGTTACAACAAAATTCCACTCCCTCTTCCACCCCCGCCGGTTAACATCGTCTCTTTGAATCAGAAGGTGTCCCTGATGACACACAGCTCCCGAATCCCCACATATTCATCCATGTCTGCCATGTCAGGCATCCATGTCAATGGCGCTGACGGTGGCTTTGCAGTGGCGTTAGCAGTGGTTTCTTTCAGTAGAAGATGAAAGGGCGGTCCTTCTCCAGCAACTAATACATAACGTCTCACTCCGCAATGAAGAGATCAATTACCAAGTTGCATAATTGTTGCCCTTACCATTTCTGCCTCTCTGCATTCTGGGTCTTAGTATATGAAGTTGCAATGCCTATATCTGCAATCAATTTGGGTCTTAGCAATTCCAGTACTCTCAATTGGAATTTGATTCACTCTTTCCATTGGAAGCACACACTTTGCCTGCCTTTCTATTTGGTGGTTGTAGTGGTGGAGTGGCGATGGCGGCGGTGATAATGGTGCTGGTGTTCGGGCGTGGTGGTGGTGGTGTGGCGGTGGTGGTGGTGGTGGTGGGGTGGTGGGAGTGGGAGTGGGAGTGAGGGTGGGGGGCTGGTGGTGGGGTGGTAGCAGTGGTAGTGGTAGTGGTAGCAATGGTAATGGGGGCAAATTCTAAATAATTTTAAAATTCTGAAGTCCAAAAGTTTTCAAAGTTGGAATGGGGATAGTTGCTCAACTGGCCTCACCCTAAATCTGCCAATGTGTGTTATCATATAAATCACATGGAAAATGCTATTTGAACTTAATTTAGAGACCTAATTGAAATGTAGGTATTGGCTTCAATATGAGTTTCGTTTAACATTGAAACTCACAAATGATATAATAATTGTATTGAATTAGATCCCCAATTTTCGAAATTAGGTGCATATGTCATTGCTCAGCTGCACATAGCTAGGAAGGTATCAGTTTTTTTTATTAATTTGGTCCATTGCCAATAACTCTAGCTAGCTAGAAAAGGGGCATATACATTGTATCATAGGCAAGCCCCCGTCCCCACCCCTTCTGCGCATTTACTGAATGGAAAAGTTATGCAAATCCTAGCAATGTCTAGCTTATATGCAAATGTAGCGGCTGTACGAGAAACATGTGCGATGGCCCATCAGCTATTGTGACGAGCGACAATTTTCAAGTGATTACACTTAGCACCAATGGGGATGATCCACATGGACTTTTATCAAGGATATTTGGATTTGTGGTGGGCAATTGCAGCTGTCTTTCTGCTATATATCAAGAGCTTTTAACAATGTGGCCCATTGGGTGGCAACTAAATGTTTGCCACAAAAACTACTTTTATCTTGGATAGATGGCTAGCCATCAGAGTTAGTTTCTAGTTTATCCAAGGATTAGTAATTGCCCGTGCATGAAGGCACTGCATTACTCATAAAAAATGAACAAATTTTTTTTCAAAATAACTACACATATACAAATACATCAGAACAAAAATACTAATAAAACCAAATCTGAATATTGTTCAGCGAAATAAAGTAGCAGCAAGAGAGAGAAAGGGTAGCAACAACCGCAAACGAAATCCCGAGTCAACAATTGAAATTAGCCCAATGTCGCGTATGAAACAGTATCTGCATAAATATATCAGAGAAAATTGAATCAACAACCATAGAATTCACCCAAGGCCAACAGTTGAAAATTCAATTTCCTGCGCCAGAAGCTTGAGGGTAAAAAACACCATGAAAGATCTCATTATATATGTATACTATCTCTTCCATTTTTTACAGGAAAAGCAAAGAAAAGAAACTAACAGACCATTAACTGCTTTTTGTCCTTCAAAGCTAACTCAGTTGCTTCTTTAGCCTGATAATAGTTACAGGCCAAGAGTTTTAATATCACCAAAGTAACAACTGCCAATGACAAAGGAGAAGAAATGGAAGAACAAAAATTTGGCACACATCTATCTTAAAGAATACACATTGCAGATAAATATTTACTAAAATCTAAGAAAATCATATAAAAGAACATAGAAATTTTTCACAGCCACATGCACATGGAGGTATAGATCAACTCAAGCTTTCAAGTGCTTCTATGAAAAACTTACTCTTTGGTCCAATACTAAAAAAATATTCACAAGAAAAAAATATAGTTGGGTACATGTGCTAAATGCTAATCCTTGAAACTATCAAATATAAACTAATCCTCTTTTTTATATGCTGGGGCACACAATTTAATTTCATCTAATAATATGACTCCACCGTTCCTATTTTTCAAAGCCATTAATACACCACCTCCAAACCAACTCAATTTTCTTCTTTTGGCTTTAATTTTCTCTAATTACATCAGCATCACCAACCCATGCCCACTCCAACGAACCACAACATTGAGCCATTAAAGAAAAGAAATATCGGTCTAACCATCTGCTGGCTATGCCATCAATTGTATTCTTGGCTAACAAAAGAAATATGCTCCTTGTCCATCTTTTTTGGTGACAATTTTTGTGCGGGCACAAACTTCATGAATAAAGGCAAATGTACTGCTACTGGAAATAATCTACTACAACATATTGTTGTTCTTGTGGTGCAAGGAACCGTTGCACTCTATGGTTTTTGTCATAGTAAATCCAACTAACAAAAGAGGAAAACAAAAAAGGAAAAGGAAAGGATAACAACCATTCTTTCATTTGATGGATTTGGTGTATTGTGATAATCAACACCTCGCTCATATCAATGATAACCAACTCAACCATTCTTGTATATCAATTCGAACATATCAACAAATGATAAGAGATACTCGGTTTATACCTAGTTCTAACTCACTGTCTTAAACAAAAAAATTTACCAGTGGCAATTTTTCAACCAAATCCCAACACACCAATTACTTGTGCTTAGCCCGGCATTTTGTCAAATAGGTTCAGAGCACAACACCAAAATCAAACACATTAGTCAAGGCATCAAGAGACAGCCACATGACAAACATGTGTCCACATACGAATCCAATCCCATCTCACCAAATTCACATACATCTTTCCAGCATAAGAGAAAACATCGAACTCATAAATCATAAATAAAGCCCAGCTCTTCCTATGTAGTTACCAAATGGCACAGGATACTTAATCTCAACATAGAATCAAATGCTAGACATGTTGAGCAAAAGAAAAACATAAAAACATTGCTCTAAAGACCCAATTACCATAAATTCAGACATAAGACAAAGATCAAATTTAGTACAATTTACAAATCATAATTTCGTATAATTTAAGCCATAGTAGGAACCCAGATAATAATATATATATCACACAAAAGGTTTTCCAAGTCCATGAAACTAAATTTCAATTACCCGCGCGCCTTGAGCTCGGCAAGACGCTTCGAGAGGTCATCCTCATCGACCTTCTCGGTGTTCTTTGCCGCCACCGTGTGCGCTGCCAGCTGCGGAAGCCTCACTGACACCTCCAATCCATAATTATCGATCACTTGCTGCATCAAGCTGTTGACTTCACCCTTTGGTGTGGAAAGCGAAGTGCTTCCGGCCATGGAACTCTCCATGAATTCCGCCTGGACCTCCATATTCACTAACAAATACAATCATTTCAGTTCATTTTTCACTCAAAATAATTCAATTCACACATCTTCCCCCACCCCACCTCACCCCCCTAAATTTCTTTAAGATAAATTGACACAGATCTGAAACAAAATCTATATATGGGTGTGTCAAGAGATCTATACCTAGGGGCCAAATTAGGTCTTTGATTGAGCATATTTGAATTGAGAATGTGTGTGTGTGTGTGTGTGTGAGAGAGAGAGAGAGAGAGAGAGAGAGAACAAACCTATATTGGCCGGCGGCGATTGCTGGCCGTAGAGGAACAGCGGCGACAACGACGTCGAATAAATGGAAATTAAACCCAGAAAAGATGTTGACACAGCAGAGTTCAAGATAGAGATTCCACAGTTGGGGACAAAATCAACACGAATTAATGGAAAGAAAATAGATTCACAGTCAAAAAAGATTGCTACACTTTAAACAAACGGGAATTAAAAATTTTAAAATCTCCAAACGTATTATCTGCCATAAACCCAAAATTTACAACCAAATCTTCCATCAATTGAACTGACCCCGACCCCAAATCAACTGAACTGACCTCGACCCCTAAACAAACGATATTACATATAAACACAAACCTTGAGAGATGGGTGGAGAGGGAGGTATATCAGGTCGACTATGGATCACTGTGCTGATTAGCATTGTGATGTGATTGACGATGAATGGTTGCATCACGATATCTATTGGGTGGCGGGGTGGCTGCTTCATTCAGGTTGTTATTGGTGGCGCCAACAACGGCTACAAAGAGATGGAAAATAAGAGATAAGAGAGATGGGGAGAAGAAAGAGAAGCTGCATTTATGTTGGAGAAGGGAGACTGAGATAAGAGAGAGAAGAGAGATATCATGAAAGATAAAGACGTATGAGAGATAAGGGCCTGAATTCAAATTTAATTCTACTTTATTATATAGATTAGTTATTGTCCCCGTGTCTAAAAGTATAGAGTAATAAAAAAAATTGTTAATTATAAGCATATTTATATTTATACCAAAAATCAAATTATAAATATAGATGAGAAAGAAGTAAATTTAAGTATCAATTATAGTGAGAGTAAACGATGATAGTGGTGATAGGCGATAATGGTGGTAATGGGAGATGGTGATGGTTGTGGTGGATGGCGATGACAATTGTGGTCATGACAACTGTGGATGACAACGATGATGGTGATGGTGGGTTTGAGCGACAATAGTGGTAGTGTCAATTATGGTTGACAGCTGTGGTGGTGGTTGGCGACAGTGGAAGTTGGTGGTGGCGAATGACGGTGATGTTGGTAGGTGTGGTGAGGGGTGGGTGATAGTGGGGGCGACGATGATGGACGACAACAGGTGGTGGCAACGATGGTGGATGACGGTAGTAATGCCATGATGGTGATAATGATAATAAATATAAAAATGAGAAGATGATAGTGATAGTGAGCGACAATAATAACAATCGGTGGTGGGTGACAACGGTGGTGGTGGTGATGGTTGTTGTAGAGGTTGTAGTGGTAGTGCCGGTAATAATAGTGATGGTGGTGGTGTAGTGGCTGTAGTAATGGCGTGGCAACAATGATAGTTGTGGTGATGGTGGTAGTGATAGTGGTGGGGTGGCGACGGTGGCAGTGATAATGGTGATGGTGTTTGGATGGCGGTGATAGTGGTGATGGTGTTTGGGCAGTGGGTGGTGGTGGTAATGGGGTTGAGGTAGCAATGGTAGTGGTGATAGTGGTGGGAGTGGGGGTGGGGGTGATGGTGGAGTGGTAGTGGCGGCAGCAGCAGCGGTGGTGGTGGTGAAGTGTTTTGTAGAGAAGTGATTTTAAAGAAGTAGAAGTTATTTTTATTTTTTATTTTTACTTTTTCTTACTTATTTAAGTGGTTGATTTATTTGAAAGCAATTAAAATAAGTTATTTCAAACATTACTTATATTTTTTAAAGTGTTTATGAGAAATCATAAGTCCTAGAAGCACTTTTGAAAAGTTACCCTAAATACACCTTTAGGTGGTCTATTTTTCCTATTAAAGTTGGAGAGTTAATATTAGCCGTTAGTTACCAATGAACCTTTGGTCCAATGATACTCCTCGTCTTGTGAAGGTTTTACCTTCTTGAGATCAAGGGTTCAAATCCTCTTCCCCCTCCCCTCTCAAAAAAAAATTAAAAAAAAGTATTAGTCGTTAGATTAACTTTAAAGTAAAATTCAAAACAATCTCGATTGCAAAAAATAAAAGTCATTTTTTATGTTATAATTTATTTTATAAATTATAATTACTCTTTTTCGTGATAGAAATTATAGATTGAATGTATGTTTTTGATCAAAAAAGGTAGCGGCTGCTAGCACTGTATATGTGTTTTGATGCCATCTTCTACTAAGAATATTCTCAATCTGTTCCGAGGGGAAAAAAAAAATCTATTCATCTTTTTATGAGCCTACATCATATGGTTAATTCAAATCTTGGGATATCTAAAAGCAGATCAGATAATTATAGTTGAAATCGTCTTTTGAACCTCAATATATTTCGAGTGAGTTCAGTAATAATATGCAAATAATAGGCATAGTCTATGAAGTACGGATACGAATACAAGATATGGATACGATATGATATAGATATGCTGATACGATAAAATCTAAAAAAGTAGGATATGAGTACGGCCAAGATACGGCTATAATAAAATATATTTAATATTTTTATTATTTTTAACCAATTTAATAATTATATATTTTGGTAGTTCTTTAACATATATTAAGAAAAATTAGTAATTCTTTTTAGTTTTAAAAAAATATATATCGTGTCATTGTGGTATATTCACAAAGTGAAATGACTAATTAAAAGAATCAAAACATATATTTATCTAGTATTTAGAAGTAATTTTTGCTAAGATTATAGTGTAATAGCTATATTTTATGCTTTTTTGACATGTAACTATAGATAATACTTAAAAAATACTCATGTGTCTTTGGAGTAATATGAATTTTTTGTTAATGTATTGTATGGTATGTGAATTCAAAAAAAGATGTTAAAAGTTCAACTAAAAAATTATATATGTTACTCGACTATAAAAGTATTCGTAAAGTATCATAATATTTAATTATTATCGGATACGTAGAAGGTATATTCGATACGTATCATCGAGTATCGTATTCAATACGTTATCTGATATAGATACGTCAACCTTAACGAAGTATCCGTACTGCATAAGACATAATATATGCAAGGGCAGAGGCAGCCTGTTCCACGGTGGGCAAGTACTCCCCTCAATTTTTTTTTAATTATTACTTAGATATATATATATTGTATATTTATATAATATATTATTTGTGCCCACTCAAGATCAAAAACAAAAATATTGATGTACACTTATATCAAATGAATAATTTTGATTATGTCTTCCCTATTTTTTTTTGCCACATCAATTAGTGTATATTTATATCAAATGAATATGAATTTTTTGACACATTTTGGGCTGGTTATGTATCTATCGAGATAAATTTTGAATATACTAGAATTATTTTATATTTTATAAAATTAAAAAAGACATGATATATATATTTACTAGTTTAATTGTGATTTTGACATTTATTTTTGCTAATTTTGGTAAAAAATATAGAGTGCACATTAAATTACATAATCGATCAAAAAATTTATAAATACCAAAGTGATAACATGATTACGTATCTAAAGAATAATAAAGTTGCTATGTAACGTTTTAAAAATACAAAAATTCATCGAAGTCAATTCTAACTTATTTTAATTAGTTAATATTTTGTAAAAAAAAATGTTATCGTTTGTATGTACTAGACGTACCAAATTTCAGTATGGTGGGTTTAAAGAACTTTTAAGTATTAAATATGATATAATTAAATAAATTATTGTTCTACTTCTATCAATTGTCAGAAAAAAATAATAATTTGTTGAAATATTCGTACCTATCCTGACACAATTTTTTGGCTCCGTTCCCGAGTATAAGTGTCCGTGATCATAACATCAGAACCACACGATTCTAATGACCAAGACAACTTGGAATTATCTATAAAAAACAAAAATCAAGTCAATTCATCACTTTACATCTCATTCATATTTTCCACATAAAAAGTCCAAATGGCTTCTTTAATCATTTGTTAATTGCTCCCATTCATATTCTCCAATAGATCTTGATGGTGTGGAAAAACTAGGAAGAACGAACCAAGGGGTGTGAGCGAAATTTGTACCTAAGGAGTAAGTTGTAGGGACAGTAGTAAATAAATATGCAGGGGAGTAAAATGGTTCACCAAATTTAAAAACAAAGTTAATCCACTGTAATAGAGTCGCATACTCAACTGTTGTGAATATCATTCCCCTAATAAGGTAAGGATTTGCTTATTTATATACTAGAGTAGTGTAATCATCAAGTAATGATGAGATGATCTTTTTAGTTTGTTAGAATTTTTTAAAGAATATTTGACTATTAAAAATTATATTCTTTTAGCACGATGTGATATTCTAGAAGTTGGTACGGTGACATTCCAAAAATGGGTTCTTCTTATGTAGGGTAGAATTTAGTGGAAATAGGTCCGGTAAATCTCCTCTGGATTCTTCCCGAACTATTGCAGAATTGATAAAAGACTTAAAATACAAGCAAATTGTGAAAGTAGCCAAAAATCTAGTTGGAGAACCTCTCACTTACCTTCAGGAGATGAATCACTCAACTCTCAAATTTAGGCTCAAAGAACTCTCACGGCAATAATTTTCATCAACCAAAATCTCTCTCTCTCTCATTCCAATTACAAATATAAATACTAGTATAACTATATAAATCAATGACATTTGGTCCAATAATACTCCTTAGTTTGTGAAAGTTTTATTTTCTTGAGCTTAAGGGTTCAAATCTCTCTCCTCTTTCCCTTCTCTCTCCTCCAAAAAAAGTATAAATATATACGTGCATATATAACTAATTACTACTAAGAAAATAATTTTTTTTTTCTTGAAATAACACTTTGATCACGGGAACTTGTCTTCCATTAATGAAAGCTTATTAGAAAAGGTCCAAATCCATTCCCATATTTCTTGGCTACATCATACTACCCCACAGAGAAATCTCGTTCACAACTTTGACTTCGATATTTAAGTCTTTGCATGAATTTAGACTTCTGACCTATCAACCATTGTAACCATATAATCCTTCCAGTCAAAACAACTTGATCTTCAATATCTTGAAAAGTGAATGAAAGAATCCAATCAACCGATATAGAAAATTTGCCAAGATATTTGTTTGGCATAAGTCATAGAGACTAAGAATGAATTACTCCTTGCCTCATGGATGAACCAATTCTGATATCAACATGATATGTAGCCTAAAATTATTTAAAGACTCAAAATAAATAAATAATTTGGATAGATATTTAGAGATGAAAGAATCCAAGCACTCTCATAGTGAATTATAACTGGGTAGATGTTGGTTTGGTCGAATCTACCAGCAATGAACCAAACCTGTACAACTAAATAGTTGGGTCGGGAGGAATTGATTTGGACACATATTGTCTCGAGCAATGCTATTAGAATCTAATTTACTGACTTAATGCACTGTGACTTTTAGATTTATTGTAGATCCCATCAAACATTGAAATTTGATGTTGATCCAATGATTCATATGAAATTACATCATTATGTCCACAAATTATATTAGATTTTAAGGTTTAAATAGTATTTCTCTAGCTAAATTAATTAGCTGGGAAATTTGTAGTAAGAGACAACTCTAAGCCGGTGACATGCAATGCAAATACCTGTTTATTCAAATTAGGGACTGATGCACATGCAAGCATCATCCAGTGTTCCCCCCCTCTTAACTTGTAAACTTCCACCCTCGTGTCTTTATATATATATAACAAGTAA